TGGGCGGATCTGGTCGCTGCATGGCTGGTGGTGATGGAGGGTGGGGAGGAATCCTTGATTTTCCCAGCATCTTTCTTTCCCTGCCCGAGCACGAAGCGAACGCGCATCCGGCGGCGTGCACGGCGGCGGGGGGTGTCCGCCGGCGGCTCCCCGCGTGCTCGAGGCCGGGGCGACGCGGCGTCGCGGGGAGGTGGAGCAGCCCACGGAGAGCTAGCTGCATCCCCGCAGCCACCGTTCCCGCAGCAAGCGCAAGCGGCAGCCGGAGCACGGCGGCTCCTCGGCCAAGCGGTTCCGCATCCTCCCTGGGCAGACGGCATCGCGTACGGCAGCTGCATCCCGCTGTGCTGGGGTAGGGGCTTTTCCCTCCCCCCCCCCCCCCCCCCGGGTGGGGGGGTGTGGGGACACCCCCCAGCCAGCTTTGGGGTCTGGGGGTTGGTGGTGTTGGTGGTGGTGGGGGGGTGTCTTTCTGCTCGCAAGTGGGTCGGTGGGGAACCGTCGCGGCAGGGCCGGGATTAGTGGAGGCGTGCGGGGTGGCCTGGGGGGGCCCCTCGGCAGAGCAGAGATGCTGCCCTGGCGCCGGAGCAAGTTCGTGCTGGTGGAAAATGAACGTAAGTGCAAAGGCAAGAGCCTGGGGCCAGGGCTGAGCTACGCCGCGTTGCTGGCCGGCTTCCTGCGCTCCTGCCCGGACCTCCTGCCCGACTGCCCGCTCGAACGGCTGGGCAGCGTCTTCCGCGGCAAACGCCAGAAAGTGGAGCTGAATAAGGAGGACCCGACGTACACGGTGCGGTACCTGGGCAACGCCGTCACCCTGCACGCCAAGGGCGAGGGCTGCACGGAGGAGGCGGTGGGCAAGATCTGGGCTAAGAGCGACGCGGGGGCCGGCGGGGCCAAGATGAAGCTGACGTTGGGACCCCAAGGCATCCGTATGACCCCCTGCGAGAAGGGAGCCCGCCGGCCGGGCCACGCGTACCTCCTGCACCGCATCACTTACTGCGCCGCCGACCGCCGGCACCCCAAAGTCTTTGCCTGGGTTTACCGGCACCAGGTGAAGAACAAGGCGGTGGTGCTGCGCTGCCACGCCGTCCTGGTGTCCAAAGCCGACAAGGCTCGCGCCATGGCCCTGCTCCTCTACCAGACCTCTGCCTCCGCCTTCAACGAGTTCAAGCGCCTCAAAAGGCAGAATGATTTCCGCCACGTCCAGCAGCAGCTCCTGGGGGACACCATCGTCCCCTTGGTGCCCCTCCGCCGGCTGCTCAACACCAAGTGTCCCTACCGCCCACCCACCGAGAGGGCCCGCTGTGCCCCCCGACTCAGCTCCATCCTGGAGGAGGAGGAGGAGGAGGCCTTCGGCACCGGGGCACCCCGAGGGGACGGCGGCCCCGGTGAGCGAGCCGCCGTGCTGCGGCTGGCCAGGGAGATGCGGGGATGCAGCCTGCGTGGCCCCCGGCCCCCGGTGTGCTGAGCGGCAGCAGTGGGTCACCCCGTTTTGGGGACAAGGTGCCCTCCCCGCGCCCCAAGCCAAAGTCGGACCCGCCTCGGGGACATATCTGGACAAGATGGTGGCTTCGTTTGCAAGGAAGACCCCTGGGGGGGGTGGGTTTGCACCCCAGGGACCCCCCCCGCCCCGGCCCCTGCCTCTGAACCTGTTCTTGTGCCTCCTCCGCGGCAGCCATAATAAAGTTAATGTGTGTTTTCTGCGGTGTAACGGCGCCTGTGTCTCACCTGGACCGAGCCCTGGCAAACAGGAGAGGAAGAGTTAAGCTCGTCACCGAGGCAATTTGGTGGGATTTATACCAAATTTACCCCTCGCAAGGGAAGCCAAACCGGGGGGGGGCTGCAGGGTCCCCTGCGCTTTCTGCACCCTTCCTGCGGCACCAAGGGTTGGCAAGAGCCGCTCTGTGTAGTCATGGCAACTTGGTTTTTTAAATATAGAGCTGGGGGGGGTGGCACAAGGCCGCCCGCACCAGGGAGGCTGCAATGGGGGTTTGGTCCCTCAGCCCCCCAGCAAAGAGCGGGGCTTTTGCCTGCAGCCCCCACTGCCCACCCCATAAGCAGCGCCAAGGCCCTGAAGATCAATAATTTTCCAAAAATTACTATTTTTTTCCCCTCCCCTTTTGCTGCTTTCCCAGAATAAATAACAGCAAGGGGATAAGCTGGGGGGGAGGGCAGGGTCTTGTGTGTCCCCCCCCCAGCACAGGGACCTGCCAGCCTGGGCCGTGGCTCTGCACGGGGTGTGGGAGAAAGACCCAACAAAATGGGGCTGGGGGCTGCGTCCCCGCAGGCCCCGTGCTGAGCTGTGTCCTCGCAGTGGTGGGGGGGGGGCCCCTTCGGGGCCGTGGGGTGCTGCTGCCCCCCACCCCGGTAAGGGGGTGCAAACACCTCCCCCCCCAGGTGCTATAGGGCTGGGGTTTGGGCAGATATCCCCCCCCCAGGCCTAGGGGGGGATAGGCTTTGGCTTGGCATCCCCAAGCTCTGCAGGGGGCTGGGATTTGGGCTGCAGCTCCCCCCCCACCCCCGCCAAGGCCCTTGGGAAGAGGGGGGGGCACTGGGGGTATTAGGATCTGGGCCCTGCTACCAAGATCCTGAGGGGGATTTGGGCTAATCCCCCCCCCCCCCCCAAGCCCTTGTGGGGCTGGAGCTTAGTCTCCCCTCCAAGACCCTGGGCGGGGGGGGCTGGGATCTGTCCTGCCCCCCCCCCAAACCCCCGAGGCTGGGATTTACCCTCGCTAAGGCCCCGTGGAGCCGGGATCTGACCCACCTCCCCGCTCCCAGGCCCTGTGGGGCTGGATTTGGGCTCCCCCGGCCCCTCACCAAAGCCTTGGGGGGGGTGTGGAGGGGGGCTCTGCGCCCTTCGTCCCTCGTTGCCCCCCCCCGCCCCTTCCCGGAGCGGCGGCCCTGGCGGACCTTGTCTCTATGGTATGGCGGTGCCGGCTGCCAGAGCGTCGCGGGTTACGTCATCACTCGGCGCCGTCGGGCGGTTGCCGCGGTAACGGCGCGGCGGCGGCGGCGATGGAGGGCGGCGGGCGGCCCTCGGCCGCGCAGGCCGTGCTGCTGGCCGCCAGCACCGCCCTCACCGCCCTGGTCTACTCCGTCTACCGGCAGAAGGCCCGCGTCGCCCGCGGCCTCGAGGTGGGTGCGACGGGCCCCCGGGGCGGGGGGTGGGTGTCGCGCAGGGGCCCCGGCCCGCACCGCGGCCTGGTGTCGTCGGTTGAACCGCGGCCTCCGTTTCTTCCCCACAGGGCGCCAGGAGGGTCCGGCTGGACGGAGACCTGCGGGCGGTGCTGCTGGAGGCGCCGGGACGCTGCGTCCCCTACGCGGTCATCGAAGGTAGGGGCAAGGCCTCAAAGCCAGGGCGGTGGGGGTGTATCCTCACCCCGGCTACCCCCTCGCTGGCTGGGTTTCATCCCCAGCCCCGCGGTTCTGCTCCCAGCAGCTCATGTCCTCCCTGTCAGGCAGCCTCTTCAGCCTCCCATCTCGTTCAGATACTGCCCGTACCCGCTGTATGCCATAAGAAATGGAGCAGAAAATTAACAAGCACCTCACGCACGTGCTTTGGATTTGTCTTTCAGGCGTGGTGCGGTCCGTTAAGGAGACCCTGAGCAGCCAGTTTGTGGAGAACTGCAAGGGTGTCGTTCAGAGGCTGACGCTGCAGGAGCATAAAATGGTGTGGAACCGAACAACCCACCTCTGGTACGTGCCCAGCACTCACGAACGTCCGGCTTTCAGACTGGCTGAGGTGCCCTCAAAGGCCCTGAGATGCCGAAACAACTTCAGGCCCAGAAATGCCCCAGACCCGGACCCCACAGTGGCACAGTTACAGCTGCTGGAACGGGGCACGTTTGGCTCTTTTCAGGGCCGTAGCCTTTCAGAGTTCATATTGGGGCTGTAGGGGACGAGCACATAGAGTAACCCAACGTGGGCAGAACATTTATCAGCAGCCCCACGTTGTTGCTATGGAGGTGGCCACGGGACAATATTTCCAAAGCAAAACAACACCTTCAAAACAGAAATTCAGTTGGATTTGGGTGATACCCACACCCAGGGGACCTGAGGATGGTCCCGGGAGCAGCCTGGCCCACAAGAGCTGCTGAAACAAGAACACGGCGACGCTCTTTGAGCCTCACCTAAGCGGATGACGGTTATCAAATTTGCACATGTGACAGGCAGCGCTTCTCCTCACAGGGCGGTTTCTGGCAGCCGGGAACACCACGGGGAGAGGAGGGGGAATTAGGTGGGCCAAAGTGCTCTCCTGGTGATGGTGGAAGCCCGCACTACTTCCGTGGGAACTGCAGAAGCGTTGAGATGAGGGCGGCGAGCCTCCCTGAGGGGAAAGGCGCCGCTCTCCAGAGAGTCCCATCCAAATAAACTTCACTCAGGGCAGGGGACATCTGGCAGTCCCCAAAATCGGCAGATCAGCCCACACGGTGTTTCCCTGCCAGCCTTGGGGGAAGCACTAACGCTTGTGTTTGCTTTATCCCCTTCTCCTTCCCCAGGAACGACTATGAGAAGATCATCCACCAGAGAACCAACACCACCCCCTTCGACCTGGTCCCTCAGGAGGAAGGCACCGGTGTCACCATCAGGGTGATGAAGCCGCTGGACGCTGCCGAGCTCAGCCTGGAGACAGTGTACGAAAAATTTCATCCCTCCGTCCAGTCCTTCACCGACGTCATCGGCCACTACATCAGCGGAGAGCGCCCGAAGGGCATTCAGGAGACGGAGCAGATGCTGAAGGTGGGCACGGCGCTGACAGGGGTGGGAGAGCTGGTCCTGGATAACACCACGATCAAGCTGCAGCCCCCCAAACAAGGCATGCCCTACTACCTGAGCAGCGTGGATTTCCACACCTTGCTGCAGAAACAAGAATCGAACGTCCGGTTTTGGAAAATCCTGACCGTCGTTTTCGGCTTCGCCACCTGTGCCGTCCTCTTCTTTGTTTTACGGAAGCAATACCGGCATCACCGAGAGAGGCGGCACCTCAAGCAAATGCAGGATGAATTCCGGCAGGCCCAGGAGCGCCTGATGCACGAAATGAACATGGAGGGTGGAGAGACGCTCAAAAACGCCTGCGTCGTCTGCTTGAGCAACACCAAATCCTGCGTCTTCCTGGAGTGTGGGCACGTTTGCTCTTGCAGTGAGTGCTACCAGGCTCTCCCCGAGCCCAAACGGTGCCCGATCTGCAGGCAGGCTGTCTCCAGGGTGGTTCCCTTATACAACAGTTAAATTTCTGTGGCCGGGGGGAGCTTTTGGTGTTAAAGCTGCCCCTCACAAAGGGGTTTTCTCACCTCGCTGCTTGGGTGGTTGATTTGGGGGAAGGGGAGGGAGCTTGAGTGAGTAGGGTGCTTTGACTGGGGCACAGAGCCGGGTTTAGAAGGTGACAGTCCAGCTGATCAGGGCTCACGTCGCATTCCATAGGTTTTTGGGGTGGGAGACGAGGAGTCCTCACAAAGCGTGCGGCGCTCAGCTGGGAGATGCAGTTTCAAGCTCTTCTGTAAAGAGTCGGACTCTCGGGGTTTGTGTCATGGTTTACTGAAATACCCGGCTTATAAAAGGCTGTGGGGGGAAAAAAAAGATGTATTACGGCTTCTCAGAGGCTGCAGGATTTAGACGATGCTGTCACCTGGCTCTGGGGACCGACGGAGCAGGGTGGGCTTTCAGAGAGCTTGTAGGGGGGTTTGTGTGAACGCAGCTGATTTTGTGATCATCCGTGAAATCAGTTTTTGACCGTATCACGCCAGGACGCGAAAACAGGGAGGTGAAAATGCTGCGGCTGATTTCTGCACTTGGCTTGAGCTGGTATAGAAAATGGGACGTCAAGTAATAAAATAGATTGAAAAGTGCGTTTGTCTCGCATCGTTACGTGACCCTGAGGGGAGTGACGGCGTCTGCTGCCCTTCTGTGCTCCCTGGGGCGTACATGCTGCACTGTTGAACGCCGGAGGAATGTGAATCACCCTGAGCGGTGGTCAAAGGGGGGGGGTGGGATCCCATCCCTCTGCACTGAATCCGACACCAGTCGGGACAGACACTGCTGTCCCTTCCTCTGTAATGCAGAGCGGTACCAAACCCCCAAACTTTCACACAGAAAATTCCCTTCCCTGCCTCCCCCGTTTTGCCATAAATCACATACGGTAACTGCACCCGAGAGGGTTAACAAACCCAATTAACGAACTTCAATTAACGTTTGCTGTGGAGGGCATCGAGTTTTCAATTAGAGAAACACAGGGGCGGGGCGGGGGAGCCCCTGGTTTGGGAGCCTGGAATGGGATTTGGGGGAAGACACCGTGCTCTCTCCAATGCCTGCGGGCAGGCAGAGCTGCTCGCGTCCCCCCCTCCGAGAACTCCCCCTGCCCCAGCACATTTAAAAAGAAATAGTTTTCCATCAACTGCCAGGAAAAATGGTAAATTTAACAAGGAAACCAGTTGTTTCCTCGTTAAACGTTAACTAGCCTGGGCCAGGCAGCGTCCGAAGGCCGCTTCGGTTGTGTGGCACCGGCTTAATTTTCCCTGCTGGCCCCAGGAGCGGGGGCTTGGGCAGCCCCAGCGCCGGGAAGGGCCGCATCCAGCCTGCCCGCTGGCTGTAGATGGCAGTGGCTGCCCGCCGCAGTGAGCCTGCCTGCTTGCCTGCCAGCGGGAAAAGCCAGAATCCCAGAGGGAAAAGCCAGAATCCAGCTCACTGGCAGAGGCGTCCTTCCTCTCCCGGCTGTTATCGCCCTGCCTTGCCCTTTACGCCCTTCTGCTGCTGCCAGAAAATAAAATCTCCTTTTATCGGCACAGTGGGGAAAAAATGAAACACCAGGAAACACCCAAGGCTTTCCCCAAGTGATTGGGTCTGCCAAATCCCACACCAAACGCCACCGTCTTCCCAAGAGTGTGGATTTAAGATCCAGACCAGCCGAGACCCCGACTCCTTTCCTTAAAAGCAATTTTCTGCTGTAAAAATCATATTTAGAGGTTTTTTTGGGGGGGGGGGGGGCGCGTTACTGCCCATCACTCCCTGTACCCTAACAAGCCTTTGCCTTTCCCTCCCCAGCTGCGGTTTCCTGGGGACCAAGCACCCCAAAAAGCCTTGTCCCCTCGATGGGGACAGTGGGGAGGTCACCTCCCCTTGGACAGCCAGGTGCAGGATGCGGCCTCAAGCCTCGGCGTTTTGCCCAGGGAATGGAGCCATCACGCGAAGCCTAAAAATACACTTTTGGGGGGGCTGAGCTTTCCCCGTTACCTTTCGCCTCCTGTTTTCAAGCTTTCCCCCGTGATTTCTTGGGCGTAGACGCAACCTTATGTAAGGAGTTGACAGCTCGGGGGTGTGCGGGGGTGCATGGGAGAGGGGCTCGCTCGGCTCCGGGAGCTGAGGATTTCAGAAAACGGGGGATTTTGGAGATAAGAGAAGCCCCGGGGCAGCGTGCCCTGGCCCGGTGTCGCAAGGCACCCTGTCCTTCCCACGCCTCCGTCCTGCTTGGCCCCAAAACGAGCCGGGCTCTCGCTTCCAGAGAAATCCGCTGGCACAGATGTTGTAACCCAGCCTTGCACGAATGGGTTTTTTTGCTGCTGTTCCCCACTGTCCCCCCACTTTGCTTGGCAGGGGATGCACCAGGGATGCCTGAACCCCCCCACATAGCTGTAGTCTTCCCCGAAATGGTAGCCCCAACCTTCCCATCGCCCCCTGGCTGGGCTGGCTCCCTTTGCCAGGCAATAACTCTGATGACCCACGCCGCTGCAGCAACACTGTGGGGAAAACCCAGTGGAAAGCTCGCAGCGACTCAAAAGCCCTCCCGCAGTCCCCCCGGGAAAGGCTTGTGCAGGGACACGTCCTGGGCACCAACAGCCAAGTGCGCCCAGACCATCTCCCCGCCTTGCAGCCCCCCACAAAATGCCAGAGGCTCCGTGACAGCTCATTCCTGCTGGGATCTGCAGGGCGGACGTGGGCCTGAGCCCACGCTCCCTGGGGACAGCCGCTGAGCTCTCCAGGGCTGCTGTGGGGCAGCCTGGACTTCCCAGGGCTGCTGTGGGGCAGCTCCAGGCTCTACAGGGATGCTGTGGGGCAGCTCTGAGCTCCCCAGGGATGCTGCAGGGCTCCCCAGGGATGCTGCGGTGCAGCTCTGGGCTAACCAGGGGTTGCTATAGGGCAGCCCTGGGCTCCCCAGAATTGCTGTGGGGCAGCCTAGGCTCACCGGGGGATGCTGTGGGGTGGCTCCAGGCTCCCCAGAAGTGCTGTGGGGCATCTCTGGGCTCCCCAAAAGTGCTGTGGGGCCAGCTCTGGGCTCACCGGGGTTTGCTATAGGGCAGACCTGGGCTCCCCAGAATTGCTGTGGGGCAGCCTAGGCTCAC